TAATTCCTCCAAATAGTCTTGACTAGCTTTCATCTATTAAATTAATTTATTAATAATTTATAAAACTGTTAAGAAAAAAAAAGCAAACTACCTTATTATATAGATTTGATATTGTAGTTGATATTGCTAGGAGGATAGAGGGTATAAATCATGAGCCATCTGTAGCTAGAGTTTGCATTAAAAAATTTATACAATTTGCAAGCTGCAAAATATTCAGATTTGAACATAACCACAAGCAAATCTGATAAATTGACATATCATTAAATAGTGACAGAATAACTGTATTATTAAGATCAAAATGGCCAAGCATATTATTAGAGGAGTTTGATTCTAGAGTTGATGACTTTCTTAAAGGTGTGACTATTAAACTAATCAGATAATGATAGAAATTATTTTGAATATTAGTATTAGTTTTTGAATCCAGAATTGGTGAGGACATCTTGAAAGTACAATACTTAGCTCTAAAGTTGGTAATGACTGTCTTGATGGTGAAGTTGCTTGAAACACTATCCTTGACTCTAAGACTAGTGATTTTTTCTTGGTCTTAGAGCTGATGATTGTTGTCATGAAGACATAAATAATGAAGATCAAGATAGTCCATCAAGACTTGCAGTTTCATAATCGTCTAAAAAGAGAATCGCAAAAAGATTGCAATATAACAAAGCTATAATAATAAATTTATAAATTAATCATATCTTAAAGATCATCAATGACTAAAAAGAGAATCGTGAAAATATCATAATATAATAAAATCAAATAATAATAAATTAATTACAATATAATAAAATAATAATGATAAATTCACAAAAGTAATCATTACCTTGTAAATCATCAGAATTATTTAAAAGTTCATCAATTACTTGTGAAGATGAAGATACAACTGCTTCTTGTTTCTTTTTATGACCTTGAACATCATTATCACCTAAACAAAACTACTATATAAGACATTATATAACTAATTAATAAAGCTCCAAATAAAGATAAATCTTGCCTTGTAAATTGTCAATACTATTAAGTTCGTCAATTATCTGTGAAAACGAAAGTGCAACCGTTTTTGTTTTTTTTTTCGACTATTATTATTATCTAAAAAAAAGAATCATAAAACAATTATAATTAATTGAAAAAATTAAAAAAAGGTATATTTGCCTTGTGAGTTGTCAATATTATTTGCAAGTTCATTCATTATTTGTGAGATGATGATATAGCAGTTTCTTGCTTCTTCTTGCAGTCTCATTTTTTAGCAGTATTTGAGTTAACTTGTAAATTATCAATACTAGAACGATTAATTTCCTTTTTTTATGACTTCATTTAGCACTAGTAAATATTTTATCGTTTGCAAGTTTCTTAGAATTCCTAGTATTTATGTTTAGCAGTAAAGTAAAAAAAAAAAAAAAATACTAATTGTTCAAAGCGTAGCATAGGACTCATATGTTTATGCACTTTGATAACTGAAATTACTATTTTGATGCAGTTATAATAAAAATATCAATAATATAGTTTCGGTATTTTCCATCTGTAATGCTACATGTCTAAATTTGAATATTTGTATAATGATAATATAAAAACAAAACTTTTACATGACAATATTACATTCACCTAATTGGCTAATGTAAAACCTGATAATTTATTCTGGTACAGGTTATCCTCGTTAATATCAACATATTTGAATTGGTTTTAAATCATGTTGATAATGATATTAATGAGAATTTTGATATAAAATTTTGTTTTGTGGCTTAGGTTGATATTAATGAGGTCGATATTAACAGGAATAACCTGTATATATAAAATTGTAATTTATGTAATACAGATTTGAATCTTTTTTTAATCTCTGTTTTTGTTACCCAGGTAGTAAAGATTTGAATTAGGACCAGGATTTATAAGATTAGTGGTTTTTTTTTCTTTTTTATCTCTTCTTTACATTAATATTTCTTATATTTCTTTTTTTTTGTAGCTTTAATTTGTTGGAAAGCCGAATTGTGGAGATTAGAACCAGGAGCTTTGAAAATAAGTTGTTTTTTTTTTTTTTTTTGTTTTCTTTGACCTATTACTAACTTTATTTTTTTCGTAGATTTGCTTTGTTTGGAAACCGGGTAGGTAGTGGAGATTAAGATCCAGTTCTTGTGAGATAAGTGATTTCAACATTTGATTTTTTTTTTTTGTCTGAACTATTACTATATTTTTTAACTTTATTTTTTCATAAGTTTGCTTTGTTTGAAAACCAAGTAGTAGTGGAGATTAAAACCCAGATCTTGTGAGATAAGTGATTTCATTGTTTGATTTTTTTTTTTTGTCTTTTTTAGCTTGAACAATACAATTTTTGTTTTTAGGTTTAGTTAACAGTACCACTTTTTTGGATGTTATTGTTTATTGATATAAAGATTCTGAGCTTTTGCCATCATTTATAGGGCTTTTGTTGATTTGTCATTGTCAGTAATTTCAATCTTTTGCCATTTCAGTGCTGTCGCTTGTGGAGACTCCAGACTTTCATTGTTTCAGTAATTTACTTCACTAACTCTTTTTAAATAGGTTGGATGTGATTTAGTTATTTACTACTTTTTTTTTGTATAGGTATCGTCAGAATGTGGAACCAGAGCCAAGAATAATATTTTGGTAAGTTTTGCTAAAACGTAGAATCAGTGCTAGGAACAGTACTTTGGTTTTAAGTTTTTTTTTTTTCTTTTATTTTTTTTCTATTTGTCGTTAATTATTTTGATTATTTTCTTTTTTTTTTTAGGTCCATATAGGCTTGATAGAATGTAGAATTAGCACTGAAAGCAGCACTTTGATCTTAAGATATGTTTTTTTTTGTTTGCTTTTTCTTTTTGTTATTTATTTGATATTTTTTTCTTTAGTTTGTATAGGTCTTGCTAAAATTTATCGAATT